TAACATGAAACAGTGCTCTTTAAGGATAATTTGTGATCGAAATATCAAAACACAAGCCTTATAAGTGATTTAACAACAAAAAATGGTAATAAAGCGTTCTTTATTCTGAGGAATCTCATGCACTCTTTTGTGGCCGAGAACTGGGCCCGCTGGTCGATAACTGGGCCCACGAACGAAGCCTCCATTTTCGTTATTATTCGGGAGAAAACAGCGTTGAACAGTCGATAGCTCCACATGTGTAAACTGAATGCTGAAGCTAGTTATCCGTGAAATTTTAAGTCCTTACGGCTTTTCCAAGGTAAGAAATACAAGTTTACGTTTTTTGTGGCCGAGAACTGGGCCCCATACTGTAGTCTATTTCGCTATGATTTCGACGACTCCTTTATAAATGTTAATAGCGCAACTTATCTATCGGACAGGAGACAAACGTTGTTATTTTGAGGATAATTTCTGCAACAAATACGGACATCAGTTATAATAGTTTTTATTTGTTTTTGATTAGCTTTTGTACATATTTGTAATAAATTGATAATTTCATAAGTGTAGAGCTGCCTAACTTTTTCTAACATAACTGTCACATTTCCTCTCTCACTATTTTGCAGTTTTTCCATTTCCCAAATAGTGACGATTAGTCGTCAATAGTCACCACTTTAGTTCAGCACCGATCTGGATCCGTTGAAATTGGTCACGTGGAGCGATAGCGTTTATCCGCGGACACTGATAGATTCGACCAAGCACGTTTTGCGAAAAAACAATAAAATACAAATGTGAGGCAAGTGGTCTGTGATTAGTTTATCAACTGAAAAGACACAAACGAGCTGCTCTGATAACCAGTTCTACAAGGTTCATGGACATTTTGCGTAATTCATTGAATCGTGTACCTATGAAAGCTTACCTGTAAGCCGTGTAGTCAGAGCAAAGACAAATGTTTATTCCAAGTGATTATGTAAGGCTAATGACTTAATAAATCACAGCAAAAAAATCTGATAACTCGACCTAATCTAGATACCAAAACATGCAACCTATGGGAAAAAGCGCGGGAAAGCGCACGTAGGGCCCGCGAGTAAGCAGCGATCGCGCTTGATCCCGGAAGGCGGGGGGACTCGGATCGTGTGGTTTTGTGTCCTGATTGGTCGGCTAAAAAAAAAAAAACCAAAGAACGCTGCTCTAATTGGTTCTAGAGATAGCTGGAACAAAGAAGCAAACATAAAACTGTGGTATGAGCGGTATCACAACATGCGTCTTTTCATCTCTTGCTATACATGTTTCTTCACTGAGGTCTTGCAATCACATCCTTTTTGACGTCCTTGGGAGATGCTGCAGACACATACAAAGCCACTATTTTGGTTTTATCTAGAGGACATCTAAACATAAAGATGTTATCCATATCACCACGAGCCTTCCCTCCAAATATGGTCAGTTTGTTCCATTTCTGTGACAACACGCCGCTGATACCATCTTCCTTGCTCACTTGCTTCCCATCCACCCAAAGTGAAGCTGTCTTTGACATGGAGTCATAGCTTCCCACGATGTTGTGCCACTTGCCAGTGGTTATATCAGATGAGCTGGACTGGACACGAAAGAGCTCTCTTCCAGAATCTCCTCTGTGCACCCATTCTCCTCTGCCATTGCGCAGTAGCAAGTTGTAACGAACAAAATTTGTTGCATCGGTGGCCGTAATAAGAGGAATCACTCCTTCAACGTCGTTCAACTTTACCCACATTGAAATCGCAATAGATTTCTTGGGTTTTCCCTTAAAACCCGGTTTAAGAACAATTTTGCCATTGTTCCCAAAATCGATGGATCTTCCCTTGTCAGTTTCGTCTTTCAAAATGCGCGCCTCGCCCTGAAGCTGACCATTGTTCTTCTGGGGTGAATCATCAAATACCAAATTGTCCTCTGACTTCTCGAACGTCAGTTTTAGCACCGCGCATTTCTGGTCAAACTCTTCAGGATTTCCCAGGCCTAGAAGAGTTAAAAGATTTCAGGGGTTCAGAAAATGTTTGACACATGGTAATAAGCACACGCTGAATGGCTTTCTGAAATCGCTTAGTAAAACGATCGATCCCTTTTCGAATATAATTGAGTTATATTCGAAAGGGGCTCGTTCCCGTGTCCGTGTCGATTTTCAAATTTATACGGACCTTCAGCCAAAGCTTTTTTTTCTGGATTTTTCTCTCGGCGAAACGCAAAACTAATTTTCGTAGGTTTAAAAAGCTACTTTAAACGTCAAGAGGACAGTTGAAAACAAAATGAAAGAAACGCCAAGAGAAGAGATGACCATGAAAACATAGTTATCAAATTCTTATTACACTAGACAACGTTTTCTTTTATGTTTTCTAGTACATTTTTTTACTCACTATTCATCTCATCTGACGGGTCTGGTGTTGTCTGAGTTGCTGTTGGAGTGAATGTTCGAGGAAACTGTTTATCGTTCACCATTTGTGGTACTTGTAACATTCCTGTTAATCCTGTCTGACTTTGTCTCCGTGAGGCCTGGGCGCTACGAACACTAAATTGGCTTGTATGGCCCTCCAGCATGCGGCTTCCCTCAACCCCGGCGCCTGAAGGACCTGGGAACCAGGCCCCTCCTTGAACACCAATAGCAGCTGACAATGGGTTTGTTGGTGATGGATTAAAGAATGGAAGGCCATTCTGGTCGTATTGATTGGCATCAAAGTTTCTGCGATAAAGTTGATTCTGCAGAACGTGCTCGATTTCCGCGTCAATATCTTTTACAATTTTAATGGCTTGCTTCTTTGCCGCATACAGTCGAGAGAGTTCCGGGCTGGGTATCTCTGATCGCGGGACGGGTTTCGGAATGTCGGAACGGAGAACGTAAGGCAAGTAGTATTGGGGAATGATCTGGCCGAGATAAAGGGAGAGAGATGGCGGTACAAAGGAGACGAGAATAACAAGAATATGCAGTCTTGCCATGGAGTATGATTTGCCTGTAGAAATTGAACAAAGGTAAATTAAATGCGTCTCTTCTTCAGAGGAGTAGTAGAGAAAGCAGAATTCATATTTTTTGTCAGGTATTGATGTATCTGACAAAGTCATGTAATTACAAGGGGGAAACTTCTGTGGAATTTCTTGTCTTATAGGCGGAAAGATTCACTTTGACTTTTTCCGGTTAATGCCGATATAACTTTAGCGGTCAGGACGGTCGGTCATTCTAACAGTTATTAGTCAAACGTTTGTCTGTTTGTCATTAAGTGTCATGACCCTTACAACTTGTGTTGTTTTGATAAATATAAAAAATGAAAAACGGCTTTTGCATAAAGTACACGCGCCATAGAGTACTACCACGAAACTTGTTCATGACCCCGGGCATGCGCTGTGGGGCCAGGGTTTCCTGGAGAAGCTGTGCATGACTAATTGTTAATTTCAGGTCTATAAATTACCTTATTTTAACTGATACAACTGCAAAGGAAAACTTACTGACCCTGTCAATAATACAAAACAAGTTGGCGTTTGCTTATTTCTTTGAACTCGAAGAGCAAAGACGGAAATTAACGGTAAAGACAAAGCACCTTTGTTATGGCTATCAAACATTAAATAATCAATCACTCAATTAAATCAATTTGTCCGGCATCAAAAAGCGACTGATCGTAACTAGCGCCTAAGTGTAACCGAAATCGTGAAGTTCATGGTTTGTTAAACTGAATTCTTTCAACATGCCCTCTAATTTGAATTGTAATATGGTGCTCCAGTATTACGGATCGGGAAGAGCGTCACATACCTTGTAAACAATGATCAACAGGTTATTGAATGTTAGTAAAACTGAACTCCTGGTAATTGTTCCTGCTCCAAAAACCTGACCACCTTCTTCTGACAAGGCGAAAATAACAAGAGTTAACCGCCAAGGGAACCAACGTAAAGGGATTTGGGTAAATCTAGTTTTCAAAGCAACCTAACTAAACCATAACTTTGCCATAGCAGGTACACGTTTTCCAGGTCCAATGATCCTCTTAATTATTCAAGATGTTTTTAACTCCTTTTAACAGAAATAGCGCTATTCTCAAGACAAAATAAGGTCACAAGTATGATCAGACACTAAATTAAGCGCAAAATTATCCGAATCATCGCTATTCCAATTCAGAGATATCGACCAACTGATCTGCGTTCCTGCCACAGCAAATGACTAAAACAGTTAAAGCAATTGGGCCAGCTCTTTGAGAGAAATGAGTAATTTTTCACCTAAGAAAACGTTCTGGCCTGGTTGATAGTTAAACTGCCAGATTCACAGCTTCGTTTTTTTTTTAGCTGATCTCTTGTACAATACTGTTTTAAGTCTGACGAGGTAAATTGCAAGATAAATAAGACAGACGTGGTAAATCAGATGGGAAAGAATGGGATTATTTCAAGTTGTTGATCCTCAGTGCGCCCAGTATCCACCGGCCACTTGCTTGTAAGCGAAGGTTTAGATTTGCTTATTGGTCACCTCTATACAAATACTAACTGATGATAATAATCAAGCGGTAGAGGTTGGGGAGGTTTGGGTCATGGGTAGATGTTTAGTTGTCCATCACATTCACGAATACAAGGGAGAAACAATGACGATAGCATCAGTGTACTTGTAGTTCATTACTTGATTTATCAATGTTGGCAGGTCTAAACGGGTTACCTCGGAAATCGTTCTTTAAACAGCGTTCCATTCTCGTCCCCAGAGCCAACTGTCCCTCTTAGCCGGTGGGGTCGTGGTACGAGGAAAAGGTGGTTCTTATTGGCTAAATTCTTGAACAAAAGTTTTCGCTGATTCAACGGTGTTTTCTTTCCCGAACCTATCCATTGGTTGAAATCTAACTAAAGCTGTTAAATCACAGCACCAACAGACCTTCTCAGATTTTAAAGAGGGGAATAAATTACGCAATGGATTCAGGTGCTACATTTGCCAATTTTAACTGAATTAGCTGATTGCTGATCAAACGGTAACGGGACCATGATATTGTGGAGCTGGTCACCCAGTAAATCAATACGTGGATCAGATTATGTAGGAACTTATTGATGGACAAATTGTTGAAATTGATTGACAGTTTACCTCGGGGAAGGTAGAACGGAGCTTGTTGCAGTTATCAGAAAACGCAGACGACAGACGATATGTAGAGGCATCCAACCAATCCATTTCTTTAAGAGTCAGACCGGCAGGGGAAGTTCCCCTCTCTAGGTAACCTCACCCTAACCCGCAAAGTGCCGACTGAGTTCGATTCTTTTTTCTGAAAAAGNCCCCCCCCGTCCACCAATTCTGAAGGAGTAGCTTTTGCCCTGCGACCACACCCAACTGCCTAAGTAGAGGGTGTACGGTCTGTACTGTGTGTCAATCAGCCAAGAAATTTTTTCATCTCGGATGCTAAACAAATTAAAATAGCTCATGAGAGATCGACACGTGCATCCCATGCAAATTTACACTTGCAATGACTACTACGTAATACAGAGCTTTTATGCGTGTGACAACGGCGAAGTCAAAAATAGCTCCTAGTTAAGAATCACCAATTATCCAGATCTACTCAGAGCCCATCTATCGGTTTAAAAATAGCTCAAGCTGAATATCCAAAGAGAGAGTCTGACGCGAAGTAGAAACAGAAAAAATTTAGCCCTCGTGTTTCACTTTCCGCAAAATACGCTGACTTTTGGCGAATTGATAACTTGTTGTTTCATAAAATGGAGTAAAAGTTGTACCATGGTTTCTATTATTATTATTACATGCAAAGCTTTTGATCTTTTCACATCTGTGTTGCTGTAGTGACTTAACGGAGTTCCCTAATAATAATTCAATTACTTCTTCCTCTAAAAAGTAAAATATTCAAAACGTTAACTCAGATGTGTCGTGTCATTCTCGGAAGTTGTCTGTAGCAACACAAGAGCTGGTCTGCCATTTATCTTTCCATGTTATTTGGAATGAGCGATACGGTTTATCTCAGTTTTTATCTTTTCACTTTTAACACTGATAGCAGTTTCAAAGCGGGGGTGGGGGTTGGGGGAGAATGAATCCTGTGGGTGATCAGGTGACATAGGTTATAAATAATTTCTACAAAAGGGGCTTCCCCGTATTAGGTTTTAACAGGAGCCATAATCGGGGACGGAGACCGTAAGTCTCGGGATTCGCGCGCACCTATGATATGGGA